TCGAGTTGTAGTAGATTAATCAGCTCAAGTACTAGTCCTTGGGAGACGGGCGTTAGGAACGATTTTGAAAAATCGATTTGCCGCACGCGGCTGTCGCGGACCACTCACATCCTTCTTTAAATACGCATCTTACTGCGGAAATTCCGGTTCCGGATAGCGATAATTGGTTCTGTTTGGGATTGATAAAGAGGTCTAACCTCAGAACTCAGCAGTCACTGTAGTTTTTCTTCTGTTATCACATTTTGGTGAATAGAAAACCGCGAGTGCATATGGGAGCGTGAAGTGTTTGGAAGCATGATAAATGTCATGGAATGTAAGAAAAAGAATTCGTAATATGCGCCAAACTAACATTCCGTGAGAAAGTGAACGCAATTGAAAAGATTCCTTCAGAAAATTCCGAGTCCCCAGAAAAGACCCATAGATTCGAATCCGAGATCGATATCCGCTTAGGCCGACCGAGCCTTCCATTCCTCCGGGATCGATTAATTGGTACCAGACTCGTTTAGGAGGATAAAAGCATTGACTTGTACGTTGGCTTGTCACCGCAAGTCATTGTATAGGGCGCATACGCATTCAATACGTCACTACGATTATGAATGGAGGTCGAATGTGGGGCGCATCCCTCAGATGGGAACGATGAACATCTCAAGTCTCCATGGTTCACTTTAATTACTGGAACCTATTCCCCTTTTTTCCGATTTCTTTTGCAAAATCATGAGGCTACCAGTTTAGATATTGATCTCTATGACTCTCATTTCTTACATTGTCAACTGCCTGTTCACAGTCTGCGTTCTCGTCTAAATCATCCGAGGACCGGTTCATGATTTCGTGTCATAACTTTTCCTGATAATCATCGCCTTCTGATCTAGCTCCAGCCATTTTCACCCTTTCTGTGGAACACATCAAGTGTTTATCTAACAGTACCATATCACTGTACTGGTGTAGTCTAATCCGTCCCCATGAACCAAATATTTTATATCGAGTTGTAGTAGATTAATCAGCTCAAGTACTAGTCCTTGGGAGACG